GGATGAATAAAATTCCGATTCCGTTGAACACAACGACTTCTTCTTCTAGACTGGGAATTCTGTATACAATAAACCCCTCATTCTGATGAATCGCCTTTTAAATTCCAACCGTGATTCGAGCTGATGATTGTAGTGATCTAGACACAACCACTACTTAGACCGCCACAGAGTAAACTGGTGGTCCTCCATACATAAGTATACGTCGGCCTGAGATATGAAACAGTAAAACCCAATGATTATAATACGGCAACATAAAGGTTAGGTGTGAATAGCTGTAATCATCTGTTTACTCTGAATGCCTTCAAATTCTTTTCAAATGCAGACATTGCCGGGCCAGATCTATACTGAGCTATTTTACAAAAACCTGGGGCACATGGCAAAATCTGGACGTTGCGAGCTCTCTCCCGATGAGGAAGGCTGTGACGTTTTCTTTCAAATATGCATCTGGAAAGGCACAGCATTGTACGTTGTTCATTTTTTATGAAATTGATTGAAACACTTGTATTTAGATCAGCATTCGTACTTCCTTAATTATATGAAAAACAGTAACATGATTATTTCCTTTTTGTAAAGGGCCTATCATCTAGTAACCAGGCAACATTTAGAAAATGCCCGAAATTATCTGGAGTTATCAGAAAAGAATCCCTATTTGCCTATTTAAAAATATCTTAGCCTGTAATTGTGTGCATTTAATCACTGCAGTTCCTCACCAATCTGTGATGTCGGCAGACACACAACACGGACATTTGAAGATGCTCAGAATGTCATTCTTGCCGAGGAAAGCTTTATACAATTTCCGCTGAAAAACTATCCCCCCGTAAGTGTCAATTATTTTGATATGACTTTCAACTTATTGGATAATTATTACCCTTGAGGGTTTGGATACATACCGAGATACTTTGACTGAAAAAAACATTAGCATCTGTGAGAGAGGAACCTCTAGAAACACTAAAACCGGTACTACAAATGAACAAACCTTGATTTAAATTTAAGTATATTTAGAATAATAGGCAACGTCTTTGAAGACCCTAACTTCCAAACTATAATCTCACGATTTTCAGTAAAAGCGGTTTAACTTTAGGCTGACCCGGAAAATAATACATAAGTGGCCAGGGACTACCTGCAGTTGCATAAAACCACGTGACTATGTCGCAGCTAGTAGCGTCGACGAACAGAAAGACCCCCCAAATCACAAGTCAAGCAAGACAGTGTTGGTAACCAGAAATTTACTGCCAGAAAATAGACGGTACAGAGGCAACTGCAAGCTGCGTGTGCACGCCAGATGTGTCCGCGAAGTTGTGTTCGCTGCAGCCAAGCCTGGCCTGCCGGGCCGTGGAAGAGTAACCAATTATCTGCCGCCAATTAGACGAGGCGGAATTATCGATTGCCTATGAGTGTAGGC